TCTTTAATCAGAGAGCCATGGGCTCCCAAAGTGGTCCTGAGGGGAGACAGGGAGACCTGTATGTAGGCTATTTACTTTCATCAACAATTTACAGATAAGCCTATTTTAAGCTGATGATATACAGTAAAATTTGAGTGATAATCATTTTAAAACATTTTTAATTGAATAAATGAAAAGGTTTAATGAATCATTTGTGGCATGGTGTAAGACAAACGGAAAGTAAAACTAAAGAAGTAAACTTTGACTCAGAAAACAAACAACGTCAGATTAATAATATGCAAGCCATGTTAATATTTGATATTGTGTCGAAGTATAAGTGTATGATGATTGGCAATTAATTGGGGAGAACAATGTAAATTTACTATGACAAAGAATTCTAGATACTTTTAAGAAAACTGAATCAATTTAATGTTGACTCACAATTCTACGACTGTTCTACAAGTCAATAATAGAAAGTGTTTTACAGGCCTATGGTATGATTTGGTTTAGTAGTTTCCGAAAATCTGATTTTATAAACGTACAATAGTTATAGCATGCCTGATGATGACATAATTAATGTCAAAATATTGAATCCCGACACGATGGCGTGCATTTCGATACTTGGAGTATGTATTATACTATCTTATAGTTAATAAGACAAACAAAATCTTTTCATTGATGACGTAGGCCTATGAAATGGAAAGTCCACGATAAACTAGGCCTAACCTGATTACTGATGTACAACTAGTGGTTGCTTGAACCAAAAATCGTAATCATTACCTTATGGTATATTGGACAATAAATAAAAACAGGCTTTATGTCTAGCCATCACTTTAAAACCGGTACATAGCTAGACATTTATCCAACATTAAACGAAATATTTTTCTCTATTTTTTTCGAAGTTTACGGCGATTGTATTACAAGAGGGCGCTTGGTTGAACATTTTTTTATAGCCACAATATGGTTTTAACTCGACCTGCCCGTGCCTGATCGTATGAATCGGATGATACACTTTATTAATATTATTTTACCTTTCGAAGCCAAATAAATCTTTCTTCTTTACTTTTGTAATTTATTTCAATATACACTTGGTTAGTATTTATTCCGTCATTACTTCGAATACTTTTTGTTTGTCAAGCTTGCCATCGTTCTATTGTGGTGCTAAGCCTAGCTACACGAGCCCTTATAGGTCCCGGTTCTTCATAGGGACTGCAGATTCAGACCTATCCTATTTCAGGTATTACTAAAAAAAAAAGGGGGAAAAAATCCGACCGGACGACCATCGATCTCGATTTTTCCATTTAAGGGCAACACAACATTTTTTTTTTTTTTTGGCCTTATAATCAGTATCATTATTATTATTAAATATTATACTCAATATCATTTATTATTATCATTATCAATATTGTTATAATCTTAGTAATTAAACATGAAAGATATAGTATCATTTAGATTTTATCAATATTAGGCTATTTATCAGTATATCAGGGAACAAAAGTTAACTGTTCCCTAATCGGAATCTGAATCTGAATCAGCTAGAGTTAACTGCTTGCTATCCAATGGACCTTTCCGCTAAGCCCCGCCCATTGGATATTGTTGCTAAGGTCCCACAAGACGACAATGTTAAAACATACGCAAACACGTGCGTTTGTGGGACAACACGTGTGTTTGTGAGACGCGCGCGTATTCCTAGCGTTGTTCTGATTAGTCAGTTGTTAAGTTTGATTGACACACCGGAAAGGTCTATTCACACGCGCGCATGGTTGAGCTAGGCCTACAGTTACGTCACATCTAAAACCGGATTTCTCAAAGTTTTATCTTCTTCGTAAAACCATAAAACCATGACATATCCCATGTCACCTAAACATTTTATAAGCCCTGCATTCAGCACCGGTTAGTTACCTTTACACAGAAATAACTCAATGGAATAACCCGGAAATGCCGTGGGGAAAACCATTACAGTATGTCCTGTTATTGTCCTCTCCATTCTACAACCTTCCAAAAACTCACATTTCAAAACTGCAACGTGTACAAAATACTGCTTCTAGACTTGTCTCACGCTCTAAGTCATATTTCCACATTACACAAGTTCTTCAAAAACTTGCACTGGCTAACCATAAATCAGCGATGCTTTCAAGATCCTGCTTCTTACATACAAGTCCATTCACAATTTTCTCCATCGTATAGAGCTCATCCCCATTTACGTACCGACACGGAAACTTCGATCTTCTTCAACTCAACTCAATTTCCGAAAATGAGGATGCGTTACGGCTCTCTCGTTTGCAAATGCCGCCCCAAAAATATGGAATGATCTTCCTCAGTATATCAAATCCGCTGTCTCTATCGAGTCTTTCAAAACCCTTAAAAACTTTTCTGTTTAACAACGCTGAATATGAATATGTTTTCCCTTAGGCCTATTTCATCTGGGGTGGTTTTTGATGCATGTGCTATCGTTTGTGGGGTGTCCAGAGCTGGGCCCCACCAGTTCCTTACTCGAGACAACGTCGTTGTCTTGGATTTATGTTGATTTATAGATTAAATTGTTGCTATTTTTTAACATTTAAATGAAAAAAAAGCCTATTCCTGTCTCTTATACACATCTAGATGTGTATAAGAGACAGTTAGTAGTTTCCGAAAATCTGATTTTATAAACGTACAATAGTTATAGCATGCCTGATGATGACATAATTAATGTCAAAATATTGAATCCCGACACGATGGCGTGCATTTCGTGTACTATACTATACTATAGGCCTATGCTGTAGCACGTTCTTATGATACTGTATATAGTATATTGCTATGATAATGAAAAGGATAATGACAATTATCTTACTCTATGCAATTCAGCATGGTATACGAATTAGTAAAGTAAAAGTTGGGAATTAAGTTGGAGGTGCTGTATACATCAAAACACAACATAATATCGAAATAAAAAATATCAAAATAAAAGGAAATAACATGTTAATTAGGCCTAGGCCTATAACAGATTCTGAAGAAAAAAATAACGGAGCAATGGTAAATAGGCCTATATAACAGGATGAAAGAGAAATTTTAATATAAATCAAAATAAGTATATTTTAATATAAATCAAAATAAGTATATTATTAATTTTAACAGTAGAGTAGAACTCCTCCTTTGGGACACCCTTATTAAGGGGAAACGAGGGACAATAGGCCTATATATCTTTTAACACTACGGTTAACCCATATTAAGGGGATGGGACACTTTCTAGTGTGCCAAATGATCAAATAACACTTAATTTGTTTTTTTTTTTGTTTTCAGCAGTCTCAAAATAAGAAAAAAATCATTCAACTTTATATTTTGACACCTTTTGAGCAATAAATCAGTGTCCCCACAATCCTTAGAGTGAACATTGTTAATAGGCCAACTGCATGTGTTACTTCGTATAAACCAATCTTGTCAATCTTGACCTTAACCACGGGGAATCTTTTCCTTTGTTTTTCATACTTTTTTATAGGATACGGAAAGGTCCACTGATTAATCTCAGATAAGAAAGTATAATACATACTCCAAGTATTGAAATACACGCCATCGTGTTGGGATTCAATATTTCGACATTAATTATGTCATCATCAGGAATGATATACTTGGAGTATGTATTATACTTTCTTTATAGGATACGTTTTGGGAAAATCCAAAAAAAAAATGGGTAGGTCGGTAGGACAAAAATAATACAACAATTTGGATTCGCATCGCGTACCATCCAGCAAATAGGCTAGACTTGACCCCCTAGCCTCGCCAAGGCTATTCTAGGGGTATTTGCTCATAACAAAATATTGTTCGTTGTCAAAAAAATAATAAATAAACAAAATACCGACCCTTAATTTCGCAAAATTTGGGTTGGTCGGACGTAGCCAACACAACATCTTTTTTAGCCTAATTCTAATTCGTTCTCTATTCAAGCTACAATCCTCCAATAGAAAACTCCATATTAAAAATAAAATTTGGTCATTAACCTTGCATCATGAAATTATATTGGGAACATATAAAACCATTGTTTTTCTTAATTACATTTCTGCTCATTTCATGCAATATTATTTAATATTATAAATGAATTATATTTGCATTGCAAATTGGCATAAATTAGTTTTAATTCTAATGTAACTAATTCTTATGTCAATGAAAATAAAATTGTATGAAAACATGCCAAAAACCCTATTAAAGGGACAGTTTAACATTTTTAGTTAATGTCCTAAGAATAAGGGGTCCACTATTCAGGGGACACCCCTAATAAGGGGGAACTTTTTTTTAAAGTCCCGAATAGGGGTTCTATGATGTAATAGATTAAAAATAATTTGTTGATTGACTGAATTTATTCGTAATCAGAGTCATAAATACATACATAGAAAATAATTTACAAAATACTGACAGGATAAAAATTGAACAAAATCTTGACCCTAATCACAAGGAATAGCCTAAAAAAAGTAAAATGTATTTCCATTCGGGTCTTTGCAAACAGAAACATAATTGCATACCGTATATCATGGTGACAGAAAAACAACCCATCTAAAAGGAATAAAATGTAATAAAACAGATGACAAAATGAATGCAATAAAGAGATTAAAACATTCTTATCACTCTAAAGCAAGCATTGACAATACAAATCAAATATGAATTTAAAATATTATATAATTTTTAGGATTATGGCACTTTGAATATAAGTGAGGCCTAATGTTGATAATGATGAAGCTGAAGAAGTGATGATGATGAGGAAGATGGTTACTATACGGTAACGATAAGAACAATACAAGAAAAAAACATTTTTTTTTTACTATTTGCCCAGGGACAGACATGAAAGTTCCTCGGGAAGTTCATTTGAATAATATGGAAAACATCAAAGAAACTTCTTTTATCGGTTTTTATAGGATGTAAAACGAAAACAATGAGCTGCAAAAGATCAAAGGGATCGAGATCTCTGTCTACCATAAACTTCTCAAGTACTACGGAACTTCCGTAGTTGCTACGGTAATTTTACCTAATTACGGAAATAGACAAAAATACAACGAAAATTTATCATAGACCTATAAATAAACAGGTCTAAAGTTCAAAACTATTTACTTTTCCATCAGCAAGTTTGGTTAATGAAAAAATATTAAAAAAACTAAACATCCCGTGGTAAATCTTCATCCTGTCCCGTTTCATTGAAATTCTACAGCTGTTATTATCGGATAGGACTACCTGTAATTAGCTAATACCTGTAATTTAAGCAAAATCAATTTTGCACTCAAGACAAATTATTCAGTGCTACGGAAATTTTGTATTTACTACGGATATTTAAAAACTTGTTCAAAATGCAAACTATTGGGCTGAAACTGAAAAAAGTAAGGATCATCGTTCAATTGAATTAGATTTTCTGTACCACACTAAAATTAAAAATGTAACACACAGAGACATAAATCAATGCTCTTTCACACACATCTTTTATTTGTTCTCAAATCCATTGTACTGATCCATTGTACTATGCGTAGGTTTTTTCCGAGATCTATAATTATAGAATTTGGGAACTCCCGGTGATATCGACGTTCAATAGGCCTAAACGAACAACAGTCTGTGAGTAGCGTTCATCTTTTAGGTTGTATTGAAACAGCGAGTTGATCTCGAAAGAAAAAGTCCTTTTGAATAGAAAGGAAATGAAAACAGACGGAACAAGTAAGCCTGTGAAAATTACTTACGGTAAGTAATTATGAAATTACATTTTTATGATTTGGGACTTAATAATATCGGTTAAGTTTGCGTTTTTCTATAATTGGTCCTGTAGGATTCATATTTTGTGAAACATTTTTAACCTTTGTATGTCAAAGAATCGATTCAATTGAGGAGTTATAATAATAATTGATTCTTATCTATACAAGAAATAAATTAATATTACTCGTTTTGAATGGTTTGTGGGCGACCGTGACCTTGGAATTTACTTTAAAATTAAAAACATCGTCCCCTCCCCCGTTGGCCGAATCATAGTGCTACCAATTGACTTGTCCTATTCCTCTTCGTTACAGTATTCAAACCCAAAAAAATAGGTATAGTATGTCTGAATAAGCCTACTTGATTCAAAAATTATAGTATAGGTCTAACGGTAAAGAAGTGATAACGCTCAGCATTCCGAATTATTATGTTCAATTGTTTAAGTCTTCAATGCCTTTTGAAAATACAATTAGCTGTAAAAGTCGAAAATGGTACACTAAAAGCACAAAATATAAACTGTTATCTAGAATGGTTGGTTTATTGATTGAAAATAATTTATTAGGATCACCACAGGTAATTAAATTACACATATAATACACTGACTGTAATTTAGCATACAACATAGGCTACTCACAACTCTACATCGTATAAATATATAATCAACTTGTTTGATGTTATGAACATATACATTGCACTGAAATTTTTCAAATTAAATATAATTATCCTTACAGGTTTCCTTACATTTTATACATCTTTAATCCTAATTTATATTTCATTAACTTAGACGTTAAAAATGAGATGTTTAAAATTATTCAATGAATGCATTACATTCACTCAATTCAAACAGGTCATTACATGGTCTCTGAATAATATAATCAAATGTGTATGTCATTATCACCATCATCATTTGAACATTAGAACATAAAAATCAGATATGATCAGATGTCTCGAACAAGCATACGGTAAGATCAAAGTTTATCAATATTGTTAAATTGTATTTCCGACTTTAACCCTAATAATAAGGATATATATATTATGCAATAATGTGTACAAATAAACAACAATACTGTTCCATATCCTTAAACGACCTTTGGAAACTTACAAATTAGTCAACACTGTGATTCATAGCAATAGATATCATCAATAGAAAACAACAATTTATGCAATGACATAGCTTAAAAGTGACACACCCATATATGAAGAATCCCACATTAACCAATACCTACTTAATATATTATTATTATTATATTAAGCAATTACAGTCAGGTATTGAGTACACTACAGGAAATAAAAGCTGAAGGTGCCAATATTTCCTAGTTTGCACATTGCAACAGGTCAAAAAAGTACGGTACTATTTTTGAGGGGAATAGTACTTTCTATGCCACGCTTCTTGACCAATCAGATGCCTAGAATCTATGTAAGAGGTATATAAATCGAATTAGTGATTAGTCGGGAATAGGAAAATTCAGTGTAAATGAAAGTGATGACGTCAGCACTGACTTGTAATTATTACCGTATATAAACATCATTATATAATAATTAGTAATGAGAATCATTACATTACAGTAGCACAGTCCACCATTGGTAGTAGGAAGTGGAGAGTGCAATAGGTTTTACAATGCATATACAAATCTAATGATCAGTTAAATTTTAAAGTACCCTTTAATGTTCTGAAATGTCTAAATTTAGATTTGGGTTTAAAAATAGAAAATAGCATGTGATGAAACATCCAGTACACGAACCTGCATAATTCCAAAAAATCATGTGAGATGCATTGAGACTGTCAGATATTAGTCAAGTGCTACACAGAGGAAAATTCAAGGGTGGTGGTGTGGGAAAGCCAGCCCTGGTCCCCAAAATGTTTTGAAAATTAAAAAAAGGGAGAAATTTGCATTTAGATTTAAGTTTCAGAGTGCCATTTCTGGCTATTAGGTTAGATGACATAAAATTCCATACTGCAGACCCGCCATAGTAGATCCTCCACCTGTGAAATTCTCTGCCCAGCACACCCCCACCCCCTTTAATTAACAATCGTGGATCTTTCACTGCTATATACAGTACAGAAACATCAATCATGATGATAATAAGCAACCCGAAGTAATTTTTGTGACTGGCAGTGGGCATGTGTCATGTATTTTATCTTGCATATTTAAGACATCCCACTGACTCATGTCAGCTTACTTATACATCCACTCCATGGACTTAATATTGCCTAATTTTTAATTCATCAGAATGAACCTTTTACAGTTTGGCCTCCACTGGATTCAAAACCACCTTTGGGACCTGAACATTTGTGGTGGCCTCTCGGTAGGATTGTTATTTAGTTTTGTGAAAAAGTGGTCTTTAATATAAAGGGTTTTGGAATTAGAGGTATCTTGAATTGGAGGATTCACTGTATAAGATATAAAATCTTGATAATGAATTGTTTGAATGGAATTTAAGAATAGGAATAGGACACAGAAAGTGATAAAGGATGTGTGTTTAACCACACAAGGAAACAAAGAAATTACAAAGGAAACAAAGAAATTACAGGCAAAAAACAGCTTGGGGTCATAACACACAAAAGCTCCTGTATTTTGTCCCACACCTCTACAATAAAATTATTAAGATGCGTTCTTGTAGCCACTGTGTATACACAAAGGCATGGAAACCTTGGTACCCGGTTCAATTCCCATACAACTTTCATTACATTAAATTAAATACGGAATTGCTGGAAATTAAGAAATCCTAAAACGTTGATTTGTCTTTATACGTCTTTGGTTAGGCCTCAATTAGAAAATGGTACTATTATGTTTAATGGATTATGTAAAAGTCAAGCTCAAAAATTAGTATTTGTGCAACAGAGATTTTTGAAACTTGTTTGTAAATCGTGTAATGTCAATCGTAATACTATTAATTTACCCAGCTTATGTCAACGTAGGAGTTACTTGGACTGTATATTTTTTTTTAATGCATGAAGAGATTATTTGGTCTTCACCTCCTTTCTTTATTTGGTTTTTCTGTTAAAAGTAAACGTTCTCGTCAAGCCTCGGTCAACTTATTCCATATTCCATTTTCCCGAACCAATATTTTTAAAAACGGATATATTTGTAGATTATCTAGAATATTTAACTCACTTATTCTGTTAGATCCGACAATTGATATGTTTTTTAATAGTTGGAATATTTTTAAGTATAAAAAGAAATGTCTTGTATAAGTGTTCATGATGTTTTCTGTACGGTGTTTATTGTGTTTTATGTATTCCATTCTGTAAGTGGCGGGCTCCCCGCTGTCTAATGTGAATTAAAATAAAATTTTAAAAAATAAAATAAAATTCCGATAGTCTTTATTTTTTATTCTTATTGCATTTTAGTGTTTACTATATTGCATTTTATGTGTAACCTTGTTATAAACCAAAATGTATCAGTATATCTCAACTCTTTAAGAAAAATAGTGAAGTGCATAAATACAACACAAGGTAGACTCATAAACTTCACACATCTTTTGCCAGACCCTCTTCCAGGCAGAAAACAATTTTTTACTATGGTTCCGAATTCTGGAACGAATTGCCAGATTCAGCTACCAGCTAGAGCTCTCCATACCACCTGTAAAATTATTTTCTTCAGTTCACTTGGATGCTTTTGATTGTGGCAATTTTCATGGTATTTCGTTGTAATGAAGTGGTTACTGGTAGCTGTCTTTTTCTGCAGGGACCAATGATTAGAAAGTTTCTTTACTTTCTGTTAAATACTGTTTAATTGTATGTATGATGTTTGCATCAAGTGAAATAAAGTAAAGTTGAAAGTTAAAGTTTAAAGCTGGAGGGCTGAAATACAAGTTGGATGAGATGTTTAAGCTGTTGGTCCCATGTGCAATATGGCTCATGTGCATGTTAAAGAACACTACATTTTCGAAAAAGAGTGCGGGATTACCTCCCAGTGTACCACTCAAATCACCAGGGGCGGACCCCACTGGAAGTAAGTCTTTGGACCTATGTAGCTAATCCTTGCTCTGTATCACAAAGACTAGGGGTCTCAATTCAAACTCGATATTTCCCCTTTCCACCTTTAGGCTCTAAATTAGAGCATCGTACAATTGAGTAGATTCTTCTATTCACTTCTATAATTAATTATGAAACTATTATAATAATTATTATTATTACCATTAATCTTTGGAGTGAGGATTTCGCCAACCACCAAACTCTCTCTCTAATTCCCTTGCAACTGCTAAGGTTAAACGATCTAGATTCTTGTTAGCTACGACCTGAATACCTAGTGGAACTCCCTCTTTACTCAGGCCTAACGGAACTTGTGTGACAGGCAGGCCTAGAGCATTGAAGATAGCTGTGTGGGTGAAGTTCATAGGTGTAAACAGTGGGGCATTATGATACTGGGCTAGCTTAGGGTGGGAAGGGTAAAATAACACACCATCATCGCCCAGGATGTTGCAGATCTCATCCCTGAGTTTCTCGCAAGACCGTAGAAGTCTTCCAGTGGTACTTTCCGGCATTTTATGGACGTTCTCAAATATTGCTAGGATTATAGCAGGTATGGTGTGGTTAGACATCCTGAATATGGATTTGATTAATTCAAGGATTGGTTTGACTTTTGCTCCTCCGCTGCTGTTCAGTAGCGCGTTAAAGGTTTCTGTGTCGGAAGATGACATCTTTGCGGACCATATTGCGGTTGAGTATTTAAACCGATGTGGCTTGATCCTATTGACTTCAATGCCATACTCACTTTCAAAATATTGTATTACCTTGAAAAGAAATATAAATATATTTGAGAATTAGAAACAATATATAAGATAGCAAAAATATATTTTGTGACAGTAATACTAGGCTACTTCAATTGGTAGGCCAGCTCTGAATGATAATTTGGTCTAGGTTATTTATTTAGTTTACTATATAATATTATCAATTAATTATTATATATCATATGCATAATAATCATTATGGTTATTTTGCATAAACTGAAATTTAATTTGATAAATATTACGGTGCTACACGGTATATGTATCCTGCTGAGAAACAAAATGTCCATTTTGATATGGAAATGGTAAATATTTGATTTTTAATCAATTTCAATTAATCTAAATTATACAATTCTTTGTTGTTTTAGGACTGCCCCCATTATTTCAGTTGTATATTATAGTTGTTTCTTATCCCATTTGTACAGTCTCCTGATGAAGTCCACTGTGTGGACGAAAGCCAGAGAATAAATTCTATATTGTTAGTCTCAAAAGTGCTACTGTTACTTACTTTATATTGTTCTATACTGTATCAGACTAACGCGGCTATACTTTTTATTCACAATTATTGAAGCAATTAATTTCATCATGAAAGATTGTATTGACAATGGTTTTTATAGAATGTCACTATTATGAAATTGAAGGAAAAGGTGATTGACAACTATTTATAAAAAAAGTCACAAAGCACCAAATGATCATCACTGCCATCACTACCAACAACATCCTCACCACAACCACCAACATCCTTAACACCAACATGCCATAACTACTTTCACCACCTTCATCTATCACCACAACCACCAACATCCTCAACACCAACATGCCATAACTACTTTCACCACCTTCATCTATCACCACAACCACCAACATCCTCAACACCAACACGCCATAACTACTTTCACCACCTTCATCTATCACCACAACCACCAACATCCTCAACACCAACACGCCATAACTACTTTCACCACCTTCATCTATCACCACAACCACCAACATCCTCAACACCAACACGCCATAACTACTTTCACCACCTTCATCTATCACCACAACCACCAACATCCTCAACACCAACACGCCATAACTACTTTCACCACCTTCATCTATCACCACAACCACCAACATCCTCAACACCAACACGCCATAACTACTTTCACCACCTTCATCTATCACCACAACCACCAACATCCTCAACACCAACACGCCATAACTACTTTCACCACCTTCATCTATCACCACAACCACCAACATCCTCAACACCAACACGCCATAACTACTTTCACCACCTTCATCTATCACCACAACCACCAACATCCTCAACACCAACACGCCATAACTACTTTCACCACCTTCATCTATCACCACAACCACCAACATCCTCAACACCAACACGCCATAACTACTTTCACCACCTTCATCTATCACCACAACCACGAACATCCTCAACACCAACACGCCATAACTACTTTCACCACCTTCATCTATCACCACAACCACCAACATCCTCAACACCAACACGCCATAACTACTTTCACCACCTTCATC